GATCAAGAAATCCTGTATTAATGAAAACAAGTCGATCTTTTGCTTCATGAATACATGCACTAAGATTAAGTGTTGTACGACGTTCTTCATCCATAACACCCATTTTAAGTGTATTACGTGGTAACTGAAGAAGATCTTCGACACGAGAAAAGAGACGTGATGTAAAAGCAACTTCTTCTGGACCATGTTGTTTTGGTTTAACAATATAAATTGAACCAGTACGACTATTTTTAATACCATGCATTGATGTACTCTTGAGATCATGTAAAGCAATTAATGTTGTAATAACAACATCAAGAATACCTTCAGGAATTTCATGATTTTCTTTATCTAATATAGCATCAGTATATAATAAATGGCCAACATGACGAATAAATAAAAGAGATCGACCAGGTAATTGTACTTTAGTACCACTTTTTGATATATAAATACGATCTTGATTAAGTTTTCGTGTTATTGTTTTTTTGCCTTTTGGAAATTCAGCTTCTAAATTACCTTTCATTAATCCAAGCCAATTTCGATATAATTCTACTTTATCATCAGCATCAACTGCAGCTACTGAATCTTCACAATCAACAATAGTTGTTATAGCTGATTCAAGAAATACATCTTTAATTCCAGCAGGATCATTTCGACTATTAGGTCGATCAATTTGAATTTCAATATGAAGACCATGATGTACAAGAAGAATAGATTTAGGTGTATCAGCATCACCTTGATAACCAACAAATTGAGCAGGAGATTTTAGTCCAACAACAGTATCATTTTGTAAAGTAACCTATTTAATAAAAAAATATATTAAGATAGATGTTATTATCAATCTAACATCTGATAGAATAAGAATCATAAATAAGCAAATTTTCTTACTTTCAATTCTCCAGCTTCAACACTATATTTCTTAGCATTAACATGTGATAAATTATTTGCCAATGGAATATATTGATCAAGAAATTTACGTGTAAATGCAATTACTTTATCACCTCGTTTTTTATTATATGTAGTTGTTTTTTCACAACCATCATTTTCTGGTATAACATCTGTACCATATAAAGCATCATAAAGTGAACCCCATCGTGCATTTGCTGCATTTAATGTAAATCGTGCATTCATTAATGGAACAACTAATTGTGGACCAGTTTGAATAGCAATTTCATCATCTACATTACTTGTATTAATTTGAAAATTATCAGTATTATTTCGTGGACATAAATAACCAGTTTTATATAAAAATGCTTTATAAGCAGCAATATCATTATGTTGTCCTTTATGTGTTCGATGCCATTCATCGATTTTAGCTTGTAGATCATCTCGTTTTTTTAAAAGAGCTCTATTAATAGGTCCAAATTCCGAAATAATTGTTTGAACACCATTCCAAAATGAATAAGGATTTATATTTGTACCGGGTACAACTTCTTGATTGACAAAATTATAAAGAACTTTCGATACTTGTAATGCTCCGATTCTTACACGTCCACTTGCCATTACTTTATACGTCTTATTTTATATATTTTTAGAAAGAACAAAATATCTTTGTTGATAGTAGGTGTGCGGGTTGATTATTTCTTTGCTTTCTTTTATATGAATCGTTGTACTTTCGAATCAATAGAAACCAGGTCTGCTTTTCTTTTTCTTATCATATCTGTGTTTGAAGCCCTGAAAAAATATTAAAAAAACTAACACCTGGTGATAAATTTCTATAATAAAGGAATATTTTACTATAGAAAGAAATCAATACATGTGGATTGTCTATAATAAATCTAATGTTATAATAACTAAAATGAACAACACTTGGGAACTATTAAATCAGATGTCGCTATATACCGCTTATGTTATCAAATCCTTTCCGATATCATGTTCAATGAAATAAAAAAATAGTCTTCATTATTTTATTTCGTTAGATTTATTCATGTTCGAATGGGAATAAAAAGAAAAAGAAATTAAGAAAAAAAAATCTTAACATAATGTAATAGATTTTTATTTCATTTTTTAATAATTCAATCCATACATTCCAAAAGTTATTGATAAGAATACTTCGAAGAAAAGAAAGAAGAATATTTATCACGTGCTTAACTTTTTACGGCTGATTATAACAAATACCCATTATACTTGTTTATATACTTTATCTCTTTCATACATTTATCATAATCATCAGTTGTTTATATGTATATACAATTGATATAAATCAATCGATTGGATAGAATTTTCTTTTTTTATTCTAATATGGGATCCCGTCGTGGTCGACTTAATTGGTCAAATTTAGAAGTACGTATTTCGGATGATGTTATCGATAAACAACATCGTTTTACTGCTCCAATTTCATCTTCATCAACATCAACATTGACAGAAGATATTGTTGAATATGAAAAAGAGCCAAGTCCAATATCAACACCAATTAAACGATCATGGAAACCAAAGTCAGGTGTTGGTGAAATACACGCTGAACAATTTGTTAGTAATTTTATGTTGACAAGTAGCCAAAAAACAAAAAGCTTAAGCATTTCTTTAAATAATCGAATTTTTTTTTTATTTTCCATAGATGCTGAACAAATTGCTATTGATCAAAGATATAAGAAACAAATAAATAATGTCAAAAGTTCGAAAATTTCTCCTACATCAAAACCAATAAGGATATCTAATAGATTACCTTCGGTAAGAGATACAGTATTATCTCCACGTACAATAAATTTATTTGTTGGTCAACATCTATCAAATGTTTTTGTTTGTCATGTTGAATCATATTCACATGTCTATATTATGTTTGGTGATGATTATAATCGTGCAACGAAATTATTTCAAGATATGAATACTTGTAATGAACTTATTCAACCATCAACTAATATTTTTGAGTATGTAATTTTTTATGGAAATTCTTTTTTTTTTTTCGAATGTGACTTAGTATGCCTCATAGACCTAAAGAACAAGATTTAGTTGCTATATATCATGAAAAAAAATGGTTTCGTGGTCGATGTTTAAATTCAGTTGGTACAAATTTTAATATCTTATGTATTGATTCAGGTGTAATTATTTTATGTTCACCAAATAGTAAGAAAATCTTATTTCAATATAAATAATTAATTTGTTTGTTTAATTATAGATCTTCGTCGTTTACCAGATATGTAAGTTGTAAATTATATATTTATTTTGTTCTATAATTTATTTTAGATTTCGAACATCTCCACCATGTTGTATTGAATGTTCACTATCTGGTTTGCCAACAACAATAGTAATGAATTCAATGCCTGATGCAATTCATACTGAATGTTTTGAACTTTTATGTAAGTTAAAAATAATATGAATGACTTTTTTTTGTTACTCTCAATATGTATTTATTATTTTTTTTAAAGATAAAGATCGTTATGAGGCAATTGTAACAAAATTAGAATCACCAAATCATCCAACTATCGTATTGTATTATGGTGATGAAAATGTAAATGATCGATTATTAGCAATTCTCAAGTTGATTTAAAATAATCAAACATGGTTTCTTTTTTGTTTACTTTCTTTTTTTCTATACTTTGAAAATATGTATACTAGAAAACATAATATTATTGTTGTTGTTGTATTTTTTTTTTTGAAAACAAGCTGTCAAAAAGAGCAAGCACTCTTCATATTCTAAAATAATTGTTAGTAATGATCAATTTACTGTTAATATTTTAGTATACATGAATTCTAATTAGAATAGTTTATGTGAACAAAACAAAATAACAAATGTAAAAAGTTTTGATATGAATCATGACCTTCAATAGATAGATGAATGTTAAATATATAGCATCGAATAGAATATTAAAATAGTTGATCGAATATTATTGTTACTGCTAAAACTAAATCTTCCTATAGTTTGGATTGAATAACGACAAATATCTGGATAGAATCGAAAATGACTGTTGAATTTCGTTAGGATCGTTAAATGCTAAGAAACTTTGTATTGTTTTTTATTTTGTTTTGAGTCTGATACTATTATAATGATGAGTTTCATTAATATAATGATTAATATTAAAGCATATCTTCTGTGTTAAAAATGAAATCGATTGCGATTACCTGTGCTCTTTTGTCAATCTATCCTAGATTGATTACATACTTCTTGAGAATTAATCAATGTTGTTCTTAAAATGTTATGTTTTACAGCTCAATATTGAAATTTGTACATTTCTTGAAATATGAATATTATTTCATGTCTACACGATTTATCATGATAAAACTATGAACAGAGGAATTCATTTTCTATTAATTTACTTATACTGATATAAAACAGAAGTAATAGGTAATATATTATAATATATTGATTTCGCTGAAATGAAATGAAAAACAATCAAATAGTGTCTGATGTAACAGGATTAGCAAAGTTGGTAATAACTTCACATGAACGAAAAAGCGAACGATATTTTTTTCTTTATTTTATAGTCACATAGGCAAACAAATTGTTATATAATTAACATTTTATTTTATACACACTCTCAAATGTCATAGAAATTCACATTTACTAATAATCATCATTTAGAAGAAACATACATCTATCATATTCATTTTGTTCCGTTTTTTTGTCGCTCGTTACCAATGTTCTAACCCCCGCCCTATTAGATCTATATGGCATCAGATTGTTACAATTGCGCATATATTAAAAGAGCACAGCGGGAAGAAAAAAGAATGAAAATCATTTGATAAGAGACAAAAACTTAATGGTATCCAATGTCAGCATATTGGCCATTGTTTATAAGCACATCTAATGTAATTGACAATGATGATAACAAGTTTTTGAAAAGAAACACGCAGAGAGAGAGAAAGAAAAAATATATAGAATGTTCGCATTTCAGCTCATAAAATCATCGTCATTCGATCGAATAGACGTTTATATCTATATATATATATATTTAACACATAGAGAGAGAATAGCGACACTAGTATATAACTGCTTGTTACGCATATTGTCTATAATCACATATTTCTTTTCTATTTAGAACGTTATCGATTTTTACTTTTTGAACGTAAGTAAAGCGTAAAAAATGGCATCGGGACATGGTCATGGTAGTATGGTAATGAGCATGAAGCTTATTCGGCTTCTTATTGTTCTTTTTAATTTGGCATTTATTGTTGTTGGAGCTGTACTACTTGCTATTGGTGTTTATGTTCTTAAAGATCCTAAAATGCAACAACTTGGTCCATTACTTAATCCTGAAATTATGTCATCATATTCTCAAAGTTTAACAAATTTTCAAGTATTTGCTATTGCAATAATTGTTATTGGTAGTGCTTTATTAACAATTGGATTTCTTGGTAAAAAAAAAGTTCAAATATATATATATATATAATTTGTTTTCTATTTCGGTTGTTGTTGTTTTTTCAGGTTGTTGTGGAGCAGTAAAAGGTTTTCGATTTTTACATGTTATCTATGCAACTGTTATTTGTCTAATAATTATTGCTGAAATAATAGTTGTTGTCGTTGTTATTGTCTATCAAGGTCAATTTCGAGAAGAACTTGTTCCTAGACTTCAGAATTCAATTGTTACATTTTATGCTGGCACACCACCTTATAACTCAACATCAGCTAATTCAGTTTCACTTTCATGGGATTTTGCTCAATTTAATTTACAATGCTGTGGTGCTGCTAGTATAAATGATTTTTCAAATACTACAAATTGGGATAGAAGAAATCCATATAACGAATCTACACTCTTAGCTGTTCCTTTTACATGTTGTCCATTAGGTGCAGCTAAAAGTTGGACTCAATTACCAACAGATTTAACTCCAGCAACTACATGTGCAACAACAGGTATAGGTGCTTATTCACAAGGATGTTATGATCGTTTGGTTGATATATTACTTACATATAAGAAGAATGTTATTATTGGCTGTGTTATTGTTGGTGTTATTGAAATACTTGCTGTTATTTTTGCAATTGTTCTCTATCGTCGTAAAGAAGATTATGCTAGTTTATAAACATAAACAAGTGAAAAATTGCATTTTTTTTTATTGTTCATTCAATGACTATTTTATTCTTTTCTTTTTTTCTTTATGGTGCCTTGCGTGATATTAATAAAGAAAATGATTGCTTTTTTTTTTGGGTATGTGGAATATAGAAATTTAAAATATTTCTTTTTCTATTTGATTAAATATAATATCGATTGGGTTATTAAAATTTAAAATATACTTGACTACATAGCAGAAAAAAAAATACGAGTAAAACTTTTTCATTAAGAAAAACTTCTACAATCATATTATGGTGGTTAATAATACATTAGAAAATGGCTAGTATTTATTTGAGCAATAAAAATATTGGAATCAGCAATAATTAACATATATTTTAACAATAATTTGTGAGCAATAAAAAAAACTTTATTGAGCAATTTTATATTATTAAATGAACAATAATTAATTCATTAAATAGCAGTAATAATTTCTTATTTTAGGAATAAATAAAAGAAAAACTGTATTATTTTTTGGTTACAATCGAAAATAATAAAAAAAAAGAAATAAAAAATATAGTATATTATTGGGTCAATAAAGCCTTTTTTGCCTGAGTGGTCTGACTTTGTTTCTTACGTATTTCTATAAGTAAATGTGTTAAATTCGTAATATGATCTTGTGTATATGATGTCTAATTTCGAAAAATAAGATCCTCCCTGTTATCACACATGTAAACCTGTATCTGAGATGATAGAATATATCAGGAATATATATGATACGAATAGAATATATCTGAATGATCACTTGAAAGAAAGGAATAAACAATCGAAGAGAAAGCAATATGGGAATGTATCTGACAGTAGGGAGCTGCACCAGGTTTTCTGAACTCGATCAGAGGATTTTGGTCCATTCTATTTTTTGGAATACTGAACTGTTTTTCGAATACGCATCTGTGGAGTAATGTTTCCACTTTCACACAATGTGATTATAACTGTACAAAAGACATTCAGAGTTGAAGGATTTTAAATAAAAAGGTTGAAGTTCATACTTGGACTCTATCAGACCCGGATATATGGACTGGGACGTTTTTTGTTTCAAAATCTTCGGCTTTGAATGGTTGTTGTATAGTTCTAATTGGATAGTCTGAAAGAGTAAATATTAATCTACAAAATTTGTATTCGAATAACCATTCAATATTCGAGATGATAGAATGATTTCTTTGGTCGGATTCAGAAAAACCAATAGAGCTAACCCGACAAAAGAGAAAGAGTATGAATGGTGTAGATACATATATCGAGAAAGAAAGAGACCGAAAATATAATGTATAGTATAACACAACTCTGTCTTATAGCACATCTTTGGAATGTAGCATAACAAAACGAATCCATAGTGCCCATTTTTATATCAAATTTACCTTTAATTTAAGTAAATTATTGCTGATTCAGTATATTTATTGCTAAATTTCATTATTGCTCATTTCAATTATTTTATTGCTGAATTAAATATAAGTCTTAGAAAATAAATTCAATGCATGAAATTGAATTGATTATTTAATATCGGATTGGATGCTAATATAATCAACCCTTGGCAGTTATTTGAAATATTAATCATGATGTTGAAGAAAGTATTGATGTCGATTCATCGATGTAGTCCTGGTTTGATAGAGAATAATTATACTTCATGTACAAAGTGCCAAGATTAAGAATGAAGATATGGGATAATCCTTTTTTTTTGTCATTATAGAAATTAATTGAATCAGATTGGAAAATAAAATTTCATTAATCTTATATTAAACATTTTAGAGATAGAATCTTCTTTGTATTGATACTGTATTTCCTCATGACCGTATTGCAATAGCTTATAAATGAATCATTATAAATAAAGTTTATTTGTGTCTTAAATTTAAAAGCAAATCATATAAAATGCGTTATATCCTAATCATCTACTCATCTATACAAATGTGAAAGGGTAAAGTTGAAAAATATCAAAAGTAAAAATGTCAAAGAGTAAAATATCGAAGGAAAAAAGTCGAAAAAAACATCGAAGAGTTAAAATACTGAAGGAGTAAAATGTTGAAAATTTTGAATATTGAATAAGACAGTTGGAAATTTTCCAATACTGCATTGTCTATCAGTTTACTCTGTAAAATGGAAGAAAATATGGACTTTTATTTTGTTGTTGAGTGCAAGAATAATGAAAGAGAGTGAGTGTGGGTACATAAAAAGAAAAACAAGAGTCATTTCCGCAGCAATATACACACCCGTACTTAAAAGCTACTGTGAGAAGAAAATTATACAATATTTATTATTTAGAAAAAGTCATTTGTTGTTCACTAAATAGTTTCTTATATGTCCGGTTTTTTTGTATTAAAAAAATGCGTATTCTATTGTACATAAACAGTACAACAAATGATATGAATTAATTCTTTGAATGTCATCTGCAAGATGTACAGCCTATACATGCAATAGGGCTTAGTTCATTAACTGCATCTCATCTACTGAGAAGTTTATATAGAACGGATATACCTAAAGATGAAATATTTTTCTTTGAATATTTTGACCGTTGATTCATGATAATACATGAAAGTACTGAATATAGAATAACCATTATTGATGGGTGATGAAGAATTTATCATTATTCTATGTGTAGATGAAGCCGATTTCAGTGTACCTTTGACAAAAGATGAAATAGTTTAAGTTTTTATCTGTATTATTTGCGAGAAATGGTGATGATCTGTTATCAGTGTCACTATAAAATATTAGAGATTATCAAACGAATATGAGATATGATATGGATATTTAGAGATAATATCTTGACATCAAAACCTTCATAATCATATTAGAATTTATGAAAGGATAATATGGACAGCTGAACAACTAGATATATATGTAGCTTTTAATCTTTATAATAGTTCTTCAACAAGCTCATCTCATAAGACGCAAAATTCTATATATAGTTATATATCTTATTAATAAATGCTCTGTCTGTCAATTCCATTTTCAAGAAGGACAAGTTTAATAAATCCGATAAATATATAAATCTGTTCGAATCTTTTCGTTAACATGAGATTTTTAATTAAACATCATTCATGTTACTTATTGTTTTATCTTTCATAATTACTCTTGGTACTTCACTATCCCCATTTCTATCCTTTAGTCAATTGCCTTTTCATTGTCATCCATTGGTAAATTGTAATTTATCATGTCCATATCATTTTTTGTTTTGATTCAGACAAATGTGAAATCTACCAATATCGTTTATCTTCATGTTTCAATGAAACAGCTATTTTATCCAATTTTGAATGCGAATAAACACCTAACGATCTTAAATATCCATCAACACATGATTGTGTGATACTAACGAAGTAACTCATCCGATTAACATCATATTTTTCTCATAGTTAAGACTCATAGTACAGATAAAACTCTTTAAAAAGTTCATATAATTAAACCTTTCTTCTTGATTTGTGCTCATTTTACTGAATTTTTAGTCTAATGCGGTATATTACGAAAAAAAACAGCAACAAGGAATTTTCACTTGAAATTTTTCAAAACAATAAATCTTATGACCCTTTTGGTATTCTGACATGTTTAGCTCAAACAGACGTTTCTCTTTTGAAATAACACGTTTACAAAAAAAAACAGTACTCTATTACAAAAACTCCAAACATAGTTCATGTTTTAGACATTCGATATGTCCACAAGAAATCATCTGTTTAAGGTGAAACTTACAGAACATCATAAAGATTATGAAATCGATTGTTGTGGAAAATCTTAAGTGGAAATTCCTTATTGTCGCTTTTTCGTAATATCTGTAATTGACGGAAAATTCAGTAAAATAAGCATAACGCAAGAAGAAATGACTAATGACAAGGAGTCCTGTCTATAAGCAAAATATGAGTTAAAATGCAGGATGTCAGTCGGATGAGTTCTATTGTAAGAGAAACTAGCCACTATCACCTATCATACGTGACATATGTTGTATTCATATAAATTTTGAAGTAATAGGCACGATTTCACAACAGTCGTCTCTATGGTCAATGCAACAATATTAACTTAAATATTGATGAACATATTGGAAGTATTAGTTTTACATACTTTTTTAAATAAGCAAAACGTTCGCTTTTCTTAGAATTTAAAAGAATCATCAATATATTTTTTATTTCGGCTATCGGCAAATTCTTTCTAAACCTTATCATTAACTAATATAAATTTGTTCAAAACAAAAAGAGTAACACTAAGGTATATGTTAATTAAAAAACAAAATTCAAATTGCAAGAATATATAACGAAAAGATATAAAAAGGAAGGAATATTCATATATGCATATGTGTCATGAAAATATTTCAATCATCCATCGTTGATGCTTCGCATGTAACTTTAATAAGTGAAACCATTTTACGCAATTGACGTAATTGTAAATCAATTTTTTCTTGTCGATTAACATCCGATTGTTTCTCGTTTGTTGCGTGTTCAAATACATCACTTTCATAAGCAAGTGCTTCACGTCGTCGTAAATTTAATATTTGTTCAGGTGGTAACTCAGCTAGAAAGACAAAAGCATTCAAAAACAAACACTTTGCATTTATATATATATATATGTGTATATGCTTCAATATTTATGCAGATTCCAAAAAAGAAGCTAGGGGAAAGCATAATTCATATGCAAACATTGTGAAAAAAAAGCCAACTATATAAAAACCTCTATAAACATGGCAGAAGAAAGACATGCACTCACCCACGAATGATGTCTCTCCTAGAATATAGAAGATAATACGAAAAGAAAAGAAACAAATGAAAGTATTAGATAAGTCAAATAAGAAAAACCGATTCCCATTTTTTTCCCTTCTTTTCTTGTTGTACATTTAAACTTACGATTAAATGGTTTTAATTCATAAATTCCTGTACTAAATAGATTCAATGGTGGAGGTAATGGAGCAAGAATTGTATATTCCTTGATGATATGATAACTAATAGATAAAGAAAAAAGTAAACAAACCAATAAAAATAATCAAAAAAAAAATATATATATATA